GCCCTCACCTGCCCGCGTCCTCCGGAGGCCGAGCGGGGCCGCGCCGCGCCGTGCCCCCGAGCAGGGGGAACTGAGGCAGGCCTGGGCTGGAGTCAGGCTCCGGGGTCTCCCCGTGACCCCGCTGGGCCCCAGCTTCTCCAGAAAGTTCTAGTCTCCTTGACAGGAAGCCCCCCGCCCCCACCCCCTGTCCCCCAGGCTGAGCGGCCGCAGGTCCGGGCGCTGGGCGGCGACAGTCTGCCCGCCCCTGGCCTTCCACCCGCCCTGGACACAGCCGGGCCCGGGCGCTGCCCTGTGCACCTGTGCCCTGCGCGGCCCACTCCTGGGGGCCCGCCTGAACTCAAGGGCGCCCCGACAGCTGGGGTCACAGGCATGCCGCGCTCTTCCTGGGTTTCGGAGCCCTCCTTGTGAACTGAAGCCCAGAATGTGGTCCTGGGACTCCTCCTGCTCCACGCTCGCTCCCTTCTCTGTGCCAACACCTCTCGGATGCCAGCTGGAGGCAGAACTCCCCCTGGGTCCCCTGGTCTTGGCCTGGACGCCCGGAACGCCTTGGGCCGTGTGTGCTGAGGGGATCGTGGGTCTAGTGGGATCCCTCCCAGTTCCATAGCAGACAGGCAGAAAAATCCCAAGAAATGCCAGAGCGGGCTGGACAGAGTAGGTGGCGCACAACCATAACCCTACACACTCAGAGGAACGAGGTACCAGGCCAGCCTCGGCAGGCAGAAGAGTCAGAGATTACAATGTAAGCCAAGTTCAGGGTGAGCTTCTCCAATCCAGACAGGGTGGGGAGTGTTGGAAGACAGAGCCCGGATCTGAGGCTAGCCTTAGGCAAAATGACTAGAGCAAAGGAGGGCTGGGAGTATGGGTCAAGTGACAGCTCCCACCAACCCAGACAGGCCAAGTTCACACACTAATTGGGGGAAAGGGAGAGGCAGATGAACCCTGAACGGGGGAGGAGCCACTTCTAACTGCTGTCCTCTCATTGGTCACCTGGCCACCAGATACAGTGCTGTGGCTTCTCTACCTGAGATGCCAGGCAGTCAAAGGTGCCAGGGGCTTCCAGATCACACACTGCAGCCTGGCTACTCTGGTTGGGACACGGGGAGAACATAAAAGCCGAGTCCAGGTCACCCTGAACTTGATACACTCTGCCTTCAGCAAGTCCTTGCGGCCAGCTCCCTGGCCACAGCCCCAGTCTTCCACTCCTTTTCTACCCTGGGAATTCTCTGGTTTTACCTCCACTCTAGCTATTCAGCAGGCTGAGATCTGAGGATCACTGTTAAAAGCTAGCCCTGGCAGGAAAGTCCATGAGACTCTTTTTTTTTTTAACTTTTTTTTTATTTTTGGGTCCGGTCGTGGGCCTGAACTCTGGGCCTGGGCACTGCCCTCAGCTCTTCAGCTCAAGGCTAGCGCTCTACCACTTGAGCCACAGCGACACTTCCGGCTTTTTACTTTTTGCTTATATGGTGCTGAGGAATCGAACCCAGAGCCTCATGCATGCAAGGCAAGCGCTCTACCACTGAGCCACCTTCCCAGCCCTACCTCCTCCACCCTAGAGAGCTTCCCCAGCTTCAAAGCCACTTTCCTCCTGGCCTCATTCATCTCACAGCTCCTCACCCTGCTACTCCTTGCTTGCAAGCCCAGGGCTTTTTTTTTTTTTTTTTTGCCTGGGCCTTCCCTCCCTCCCTGCTCAGTGTCCTCGGCTGTGCTGGCCTCTGCCCCAGCCCCTGGGCCTCCTTGCCGTTCTGGAGCCACTCTGGCTTGCTCCCACCTTGGTACCTTTTCCTGCTCCTGTGGAGCCAAACCTTGGACAGGAGGAGCCAGAGGAGTCCAGAGCCGAAAGCGGGCCCACCCCTGAGCACAAAGCACACAAAGACCAGACCCTCCATCACCTCCAGCATTTAATTTTGGTCTTAAGACTCTGAGGAAGCCGTCCCAGAACCCCCTGCTAACAGGACTGGCACAGTTACGGAAGGCCATGTCCCAAGCAGTGAGGAGGCAGCGCGGTGGACGGCCCTCTGCCCGAGGGAAAGCCCACACTTGGGCCTCAATCCTCAACTGGCAATAGCAGAGCCACAGCTCTGCAGGTTCCTCGCCCAGACGGTGGGTGGGAAGGCACAGTGCCAGGTGCTGCAGCCAGGCCCACGGCCTTCTGGCTTAGAACACAGGGTGGACAAAAGACTGCAGACCGAATGGCAGGGGCGGTGCGGCTGCTCCTGCGTCCCTCATCTGCAGCCCCGCCAGGCCTCAACGGAGAGGCACCGACAGTGAATACCTCCACTTCTACTCTCCGACCTGAGGGGAGGGGTCCATCCCACGGAGATGACAGGTTCTGGCTCAGATGCACTTTAATCAGCTCCCCGCACACCCTTCTCCAGCCAGGCCACCCACAAGGCTCTGTCTGGCATCCGCCCATACCCCCCAGGCTCTGGCTGTCCATCTTTTAGTCACAGGAACCGTCCTTCCAGCCGTCACGCCATCGCTCATCCACCTTTGAGCAGTCGAAGGTGGGTTTGCCCAGCTTGTGGTTCACCTCATTGTGCAGTCGGCACAACCACTGGGAGAAGGAGGCCCGAGAGCGGGTATCGGGCTGGCTCCTGTCTATCCTGCAGGAGGGAAGCACAGGAGGGAAGAAGGTGGTGGTTAGCGCGTGCCCAGAGCTCACATCTGTAATCTTAGCTGCTCAGGAAGCTGCGATCTGAGGATCATGGTTCCAAGCCAGCCTGGGCAGGAAAAGTCTGTGAGACTCTTCCATTAACTATCAAACAACCAGAAGTAGAACTGTGGCTCAAGTGGTAACCCTAACCCTAAGCCAGCAAAAAAGCTCACCAGGCACAATGTCCAGACGCTGAGTTCAAGCTCTAACATGAGTATATGCCTCCCTTCCTCACCCCCAAATGCAAGTTTGTGACTCTTCAGGCTTGTTGGCGAGCTGGGGCATTGTAGTGAGCTGCACCTGGTAGGGCCCTCATGTTCCAAGGGACAGGGATGCCAAGCACTGGCCTGAGCCTGTAGTTTCCAGCGTGGGTGGACTCCAACAAGAGTTGGGGAGCTTGGCAAACCCAGCTAAGAGCCAGCCTAGGGCAAGACATTAAAGCAGACACTAGGCAACTTTACAACCTTGTAACAATCAGGCAGCCTCACCCCAGTCTCTGGCAGGCCACAGAGAGGTGGGGCCTGGCACAACCACCTAACTGTTTGCTAGCACCGGAGGCCCTAGTGCTTGACCTAGAAGACCTCATTCTAGCAGCCTCAGGCTTCAACCAACCAGGGCACCTCTAAATTCAAATTTCCAAGTTCTTAAAGCCAGCATTCCAACTCTGGAAGCTAGGCAGAAGTAGTGTCCTAGAGCTAAGGGGCCTCCAGAAGCCCCTCAGTGCTAACTGAACATAGGAAGTGGTGGGGAGGCCCTTCCTGGGAGCCTCCAGGCTGGCTGGCCTCTGAGGTCTGGGGTATGGCTCTGTTGCCCGCAGAGGCACAGCAGCGCTTACCTCATCCTTATGTCTTCAGCGCACTCTTCACACGGGTAAAACTTGGAAAATAAACGCATGAACTGGGCCATGTCTTGCTGCTGTTCCGGGGTAGGCAGGTCAGGGTAGTAGGCGGCCACCGTGTGAAGGAAAGCCCAGCTGTGGCGACCCAGTTCCTCACGATCCTGTGGACAATCCTCCCTAAACTTGATGTCCCGCTGCAGAAGTAGGCCGACCAAGGGTCAGTTCATTCCCCCACACACAAGCCCACACACAGCTCCCCCTTCGAGGAAGGCCAGTGGCAGAGCGCCCGCTCTACTCGAGGCCGTAGGTTCAACTCCCAGCACCACATAGCCGGGGGCGGGGATGGGGGGAAGGAACAGAAAGAGAAAGGAAGAAAAAGCTCCCCCTTCGTTCCAGCCTCAGCCATCAGCCCTCTGACCGGCCGGGGACGGAAGTCTTGCTGCCAATCCGGGCCGAGTGCGGCTCAAAGCGGAGAGTTCGGGCCCGGCCGGGGGTTGGGGGGGGCGGGGCCGGG